GGGGTTCCCATGCTAGCACATCCTGTATCTTAGCTGGGTCCATGGCTAGCCCCTTCGTGGATATGCGGAAGCCCAGGTAGGTGAGTTCGGTTTGGTGAAATTCACACTTAGAGGCCTTAACATATAGCTGGTTCTCCCTCAGGATTTGGAGCACCTTTTGGGTCGTTTTTATGTGTTGGGCTAAGGAGTCCGAGTATATCAAAAGGTCGTCTAAATAAATCAGCAGTCCATCATACAGCATCTCCCGGAAGATGTTGTTTATGAATTGCATGAATACCTTTGGGGCTCCTTTCAACACGAAGGGGGTCACTGTCCATTGAAACTGCCCATAACAACAATTGAAAGCCATCTTCCAACAATCCTCATCTCGCACCCTCAGGCGATAAAACGCTTCTCTGATGTCTAATTTTGTAAAGATTTTGGCTTTACCCAGTTATGCCAAAATGTCCGACATGAGGGGGAGGGGGTATTGGTTGGTGGTGCATATGGCGTTTAGGCCTCTATAGTCCACACACAGCCTCAACGACCCATCGGCCTTAGGCCTAAAAAGCACTGGGGCTGCCACCGGTGAAGTGGACGGCTCTATGAACCCCCTTTCTAGGTTTTTATCCAGGAACTCTCTCAAGGCCTTCCTCTCCGGTTCAGACATCGTGTATAACTTTGGACTAGGCAATTTAACATTTGGCTCTAACTCAATAGTGCAGTCTGTTTCTCTATGTGGGGGTAGTTGGTCACACTCTGTCTCGCTAAAAACGTCTGCCCACTCTCGATAAACCTCTGGGATGCAAAATTCTGGGCCCTCCGGAGTCGCTTCTGCCTGCGCCCCTTGTATCTGTGCAGGGGGGGGTGTCTGGTTGAGCCCCTCAGGCCTATATTCTCCATCTGCGAAGGTAAACACTCCCTCAGTCCAGTTAATTTGAGGGTTTTGCCATTTCAGCCATGGGATCCCCAGTATGACTGGCTGGTGGGCCATGGGGGATATCACAAACTGCAAAGTCTCTCGGTGAGTCCCCATCTCCAGGTGTAAATAGTCTGTTTTTTCCATTACTGGGGCCCCGTGGGCTGCTGTCCCATCCAACTGGGAGAAAATGACTGGTGTCTTTAATGCCTGGGGCTTAACTCCCAGTTTGGCTGCCAGGGAGGGGGTAATTAGGCACCTGGTGCACCCACAGTCTAGCATGGCTTCAGTTTTTATTCTCAGTCCTGATTTGGGGTTAGTTAGAATCACAGTCATTTTAAGCACATCACAATTTAGTTTCTTTAACTCACCGCCTGACGTCTTCACGATCTTCCTGTAGGCGGCGCTTACAGGAGATCTTGCCCGTTTCCCGCCAGGTAGGAATCTCTGTCTGCGCCCTCCAGTTCCGCCTCTTCCTCCGCAGGGAGCTGGTGCGGGGCCAAAGCGGTTTCCACCGCCATGGAGGCTTTCCCCTTCGTGGTTTTGGGTCCTGGCGCTGACCTCGCGGGGGGTGTCTTGTCAGGCTTGGGAGCGTTGGGAGGGTTGCGCCCTCTTGGGCATTCCGCCGCTCTGTGCCCCTCCTGGCCGCACGCGAAGCAGGGGCCCCTCCTTCCTTTCCTCTCGCGGCTGGCCGACCTTCCTCTGGGCAAGGGGCGTCTCGACCCTCTATGCAGGCCTGCTGCGGGGTGCCGGGTTCGCCCTCTCTCTCTCACTCTGCGTGGCATCTGCTCCTGGTCACACTCAACCCTCCCCGCCAGCACAATCCACTCCTCGAGCGTGTTTGGGTTGTTCCGGTGCAGCGACCACTCCAACACATCGGAGCGCAAGCCCGCTCGGAAGTACTCGAGCTTCGTGGCTTCAGACCAGTCTCTAATTCTGCCTGCAATGGCTTTGAACTCCAAGGCATATTCAGAGACAGTCTTGTTGCCCTGGTAGATTTTTTTAAGCTGCCCTTTTGCCTTCTCCTCCGCCAAGGGATCTTGGAATCTCTCCCGGAGTGCTCTCAAGAAGTCATCCAGTCTCCTCAACTCAGGCGCTCGGGTATCATACATTTGCATGAGCCAATCGGCCGCAGCTTCCTTCAAATTGGCCCCCACCGCATGGATCATAGCTCCCTCTGAGGGGAAGGTATCCCCATAGTCCTCCATAAAATGTCTCACGTTTGTGATGAAATAGGAGAGCTGCTTGGGGTCTCCATTGAACTTTACACGCAGCTCTCCTCTCCCGGGGCCTCCGTGTAGTTGGCTTCTCCCCGCCCATCCCGAGGTGAATGCCGAGGTCCCGGGGGGGGGGGGTGGAGCTGCTCTCCCTCCATGGCGAACGCCACTCTCCCCGAGGGCCGATACCCACGCCCCATACCTTGTGGATGAGAACGTCGCTGCTCTCTCTCTTCTAGCGTGGTTCTCCATGACGCTGCTACCTCCTTTCTCATCTCATCCAGTTGGAATGAAAAAGTTTGCAGCATTCTCTCCATCGCATCCACTTTCTCCCCGAAGTGTTGCGCTGGCAGCGCCGATGCGCTGCTAAGGGGCGAGGGTTCTCTGAGAGGCTCCTGCAACCCCGACATGGGCAGCTTGCGCCTCACTGTTACATCCTTCCTGGAAGGCATCTGCGTGGAAGTCAGGGGGCCCCTCCAGTCCTCAGGCACCGCGGGGGCCTCTTCTTCTATCCCTACGCCTCCTTCTTGGGAAGATTCCTCGTCCTCGATCCTCTCGTCCTCCAGCCCCTGGGGAGGGAAGGCTCCGGTGCTTCCCTCGGCTCCCATCAGGATCTCTCCTTCTTGGAACATGCTCTTTCCCCGGATAGTTATAATCCTCACAGGTTGAGCAGGAAGTTTTGAGTTCTCTCTTTATGTCAGGATCCGCTGGATCTTAGAATAAAACTCGCACTCACAAGCAGGATACTTGGATTTGGAGTTTATTTCAGTCCATACAGAACAAAGTCAAAGAGAGAACTGAGGTTTCCCGCCAAGAGTCTCCAGATCCCCCCTCCTAGCTTCGCCCCCCCTCTCCCCCTTGCTTATCAAAGTTTAGACTAAGATTCCTATTCCCACAGCTTCAAAGTGAATACTATGCCCAGATGGCCATGCCATAAACCCATCTATCATCATTGCCCCCTCTAGTGTCAGGTAGAAGACTTCTTGGAATCTCGAACATGAAGGCACATCCTGACACCCAGCTCCTTAAGCTGCTCCTCATAGGGCTTGTTCTCCAGACCCTTGATCATTTTAGTCGCCCTCCTCTGGACACATTCCAGCTTGTCAATATCTCTCTTGAATTGTGGTGCCCAGAATTGGACACAATATTCCAGGTGTGGTCTAACCAAAGCAGAATAGAGGGGTAGCATGACTTCCTTAGATCTAGACACTATGCTCCTATTGATGCAGGCCAAAATCCCATTGGCTTTTTTTCCCCGCCACATCACATTGTAGGCTCATGTTTAACTTGTTGGCTCATGTTTAACTTCCATGGATGCATGCATACTGCTTGTATATTATTATTATTATTAATAATAATAATAATAATATTATTATTATTATTATTATTATTATTATTATTATTATTATTTGAGACACAACAAGATGAGTACACTGCAAACAAGATCACTCTGCTGCCTGTTGCATTGGATCCCACGTCGGACCCTTCCCAAGTGTCTAGGACTGTGTGATGTACTGGATAATAATGCGTGCAGATCTCAGTAAGGTGGCCTTCTGCAGCTGGCAGCTGGCAGTTTTGTCAGCGCCAATTGTGTTTAAGTGCAGGCCAAGGTCTTTAGGCACTGGACCCAGTGTGCCAATCACCACTGGGACCACACTGACTGGCTCGTGCCAGAGTTTTTGCAGTTCGATCTTTAAATCCTCATATCATGTCAGCTTTCCCAGTTGTTTCTCTTCAATCCTGCTGTTGCCTGGGATTGCAACATCGACAATCCACACTTTGTTTTTTAACACGGGCATGAGGTCAGGAGTAATGTGTTTCAAAACTCTGTCAATCTGAATTTGGAAGTCCCAGAGTAGTTTGGCCTGCACTTAAACACAATCAGCACTGACAAAATTACCATGTCAGCTGCAGAAGGCCATCTTACTGGGCTCTGCATGCATTATTTGCCAATACATCACACAGTCCTATACATTTAGGAAGTGTCCAATGTGTGATCCAATACAAAAGCCAGCATAGTGATCCTGTTTGCTGTGGACTCATCTTGTCGTGTTTCAAATAATGATAATAATAATAATAATAACAATAATAATAATAATAATTTGACTTGTGACTTTGTGATACGAATTCCAGCATATAGGTCTTGTTTGCTATGACATACTGTGCTTTTGTGTCAGTAAAATAATAATAATAATAATAATAGGTTGTTGTAGGTTTTCCGGGCTATATGGCCATGTTCTAGAGGCATTTTCTCCTGACATTTCGCCTGCATCTATGGCAAGCATCCTCAGAGGTAGTGAGGTCTGTTGGAAGTAGGAAAATGGGTTTATATATCTGTGGAAAGACCAGGGTGGGACAAAGGACTCTTGTCTGCTGGAGCTAAGTGTGAATGTTTCAACAGACCACCTTGATTAGCATTTAATGGCTTGGAAGTGCCTGGGGGAATCTTTCTTTGAGAAGTGATTTGATGTGCCTGGTTTTTCCCTCTCTGTTGTTTTGCTGTTGTAATTTTTGAGTTTTTTATACTGGTAGCCAGATTTTGTTCATTTTCATGGTTTCTTCCTTTCTGTTGAAAGTGTCCAATAATAATAATAATAATATTAGGTTCTTGTGGGTTTTGTACTTGTGGGTTTTGTAATAATATTTTGTGTCAATAATAATAATAATAATAATAATAATAATAATAATAATAATAATAATTGGGGTCTTTCATATAAAGCTTTCATTATGTAAGGAGGGAAGACATTTTTTTTTCTCAGAATAAAAAGGACCAGCTGGTCCTGGCTTCTGTGCTGCAAATGGGAACCGGAAATGTACGTTGAAGCTCATAGTGACCACATCTCTTTGATTTCTGTTAGCCCGAAGTGTTGCTTCTAGGAAGCAGGGTCTTGCTGCCCCTTCTTACCGGAAGTGAGGGCGGAAGGGAATGTTATCAGGACGGACCTGGTGTGCATTGATCAAAAGGTCCCCCATAGTCATTTTTTTGTAAGTGAAGCAGGTGGATGAGCTGGAGACTGATCCCTTCATTTATTTTGAAGTAGGACATCCAAATTGAAGGGAAAGATATTCCAGCTAAACATCAGGAGCAGTTCAGCAGTAGAATAGACTCCTGCCACAAAGTATGCTGGAGTCTCCTCCTCTGGGTGGCCATCTGTTGGGAGGGCTTTGGTGGTGTCTTCCTGCCTGGCAGAATAATTTGGTTGGATTTGGGGGTGGGGTGTCTCTTCCGACTCATGGGATCCACCGATTCATTTCCTTCAAGCTTTGGCAATGAAACTAAAAAGCATTTTTTCCCTTTTCAAACAGACTTTGACCGTGATGATTGCATTGACAGAAAAGGACAGGCCTGTGGCTCAGAAGCTGCTGGATTTCGGGGCGTGCGCACGCTGTGTTCTTAGGTTCTGCCGTGTCGGACTGCAGGCCCCGTACAGGCCTCCACATCAGGTAGAGCCAGTTGTGTCCATACCTTGGGAAGTCAGACTTGGCCGTGGTAGTCCATGGTTTGGTTACATTCCAAATAGACTGCTGCAACATGCTTTACATGGGTCTGCCTTTGAAGAATGTTTGGAAGGTACAAATGGTCCAATGAGTGGCAGCCAGATTGCTCACCAGTGCGGCGTACATGGAGCATTTTGTTGTTCATTCGTTCAGTCGCCTCCGACTCTTCGTGACCTCATGGACCAGCCCACGCCAGAGCTCCCTGTCGGCAGTCACCACCCCCAGCTCCTTCAAGGTCAGTCCAGTCACCTCAAGGATGCCATCCATCCATCTTGCCCTTGGTCGGCCTCTCTTCCTTTTACCTTCCACTTTCCCCAGCATAATTGTCTTCTCTAGGCTTTGCTGTCTCCTCATGATGTGGCCAAAGTACTTAAACTTTGTCTCTAGTATCCTTCTCTCCAATGAGCAGCCGGGCTTTATTTCCTGGAAGATGGACTGGTTGGATTTTCTCGCAGTCCAAGGCACTCTCAGAACTTTCCTCCAACACGACAGCTCAAAAGCATCTCTCTTCCTTCGCTCAGCCTTCCCTAAGGTCCAGCTCTCACATCCGTAGGTTACAACAGGGAAGACCATGGCTTTGACTAGGCGGATCTTTGTTGCCAGTGTGATGTCTCTACTCTTTACGATTTTATCGAGACTGGACATTGCTCTCCTCCCAAGAAGTAAGCGTCTTCTGATTTCCTGGCCACAGTCTGCATCTGCAGTAATCTTTGCGCATAGAAATACAAAGTCTGTCACGACCTCCACATCTTCTCCCTCTATTTTCCAGTTGTCAATCATTCTTGTTGCCATAATTTTGGTTTTTTTGATGTTTAGCTGCAACCCGGCTTTTGCGCTTTCTTCTTTCACCTTGATTAGAACATTCGTAACATGGAGCATATTACCCCTCATTATGTCAGCTCCACTGACTGCCAGTCCGCTGGATTTAATCTATAAAGCCCTAAATGGTTCTGGCCCAGCTTATCTGTCTGAACATATCTCTATGAACCACCGTGGAGTTTAAGATCATTTGTGGAGGCCCTGCTCGGTCCTGTCTCCCTTTCAGGCACGATTGGCAGAGACAAGAGTCAGGGCCTTCTCAGTGGTGGCCCCTCGGCTGTGAAACTCCCTCACCAGCAATGTTAGATCAGGCCCTCCCTTCTGACCTTCCGCAAGAGAGTGAAAAGGTGACCAAGCCTTTAAAAAAACTTGTGCAATACATAGACTTGGAACATTGCAATAACCATTGGAATGGCCTGGATTACATTTGTGGATTACGTGTTTAACTCTGAATGTATTGTTTTTAAATATTTTAATTCTATTTTTAAATTCTATTCTATTCTATTAAAATTCTATTTTAATATTTATTTATGTTATATTGTATTTCAGGACATCAAATTGTTGCCTCTATGTAAAGCCACCTTGAGTCCCCTTTAGGGTGAGAAAGCTGGAGTAGAAATGTTGCAAATAAATAAATAACACTAGGCATGGGCAAACTTCGGCCCTCTGGGTGTTGTAGGACTCCAACTCCCACAATTCCTGATAGCTGGCTGTTAGGAATTGTGAGAGTTGGAATCCAAAACACCCAGAGGACCAAAGTTTGCCCGTGCCTGGTTTAAACACTATGCATGTAACTTTGGTTCAGTGTTTAAAATCAAACATTTGAACATTTAAACATTTGTGTTCATTTGTACATTTGTTGTTCCTCAACTTAGTCCACACTGAATCAGTCAAGTTGAAGGGATTATCTTCCATGTCCACCCCTTTGTTGTCTTATAGCTCAGTTCATTCTTAATCCATCATGGCAAGGAAACCTGAGTACTATACTCCTTTGGCTATATCAGTCCCTGATGTTTTCCATGTATCAAGTTAAAGTTTAGTTGATGGTTCAGATGTTTCTCACTTTTGGTTTCTACATTTTGTACTTATTCTTCTGGTTTTCAGCTTTTTCCTTAGCCCAAACCCTCACATTCACTACAAAGTCATTTTGGATCACTGCAGAACATTTGCTTTCTAATTAAACCACTCATTTCACCACAACTTCAACTCCCACAATTCCAGCAACCAGTTAGGAATTGTGGGAGATTAAGTCCAAAACACCCAGAGGGCCGAAGTTTGCATTTGCTAGCAAAACCATGCCTCCGGAGATTCACTCTGCTTTCTTGCTTTGTTTAGGAGTTGTTTCGTGAACTGCATGAGTTCCTGCAGGGCACCAAAGATGACAACAAACTACCTTGTGAAATGGCAGACCCACCCAGTAAGAGAATCAAGCTGGAGAATACTAAAGAGAACGAAGAGCAGGCTCTAAACGGAAGCCGCACACTTAATGATGCAGGCGCCGTTGCTGAGAACGTATGCACTATTTGCTTGGGGATTCTGCAGGAACTCTGTGAGATGGATTTTGTCAAAATGGTAAGTTGTACTTGTCAGCGTGTTCTCAAAAGCTCTCATGGCCAGAATTACTAGGTTGCTGTGAGTTTTTCGGGCTGTTTGGCCGTGTTCACACTGCATGAGAATCTAACATTTCATCTGCATCTGTGACTGGTGTCTTCAGAGGTTCTGTTGGCAGTGAAGCAAGTGGAGTGTATGTATACCTGTGGAATGACCAGGGTGGGAGAAAGAACCCATGTCTGTTGAATCAAGCGTAAATGTTGCAATTAGCGAGCTTGAATAGCATTGAGTAGTCCTGAAGCTGCAAAGTTCGTCTGCATAGAGATAGCCTGGGTTTTGTTGTTCTTCTGTTTTGAAGATGTTGGCTGGCCCTTGATTGTTTGCTGTCTGGGGTTCTCCTGTTTCTGAGTAGTGTTCTTTAAGCTAGGGCTTCTAGTTTGAGGACTGCTAGAAGGACTGCTCTTGGTTTGTGTTGTCAAAGGCTCTCATGGCCTGACCCACTGGGATGCTGTGAGTTTTTCAGGCTGTATGGCTATGTTCCAGCTGCATTCTCTTCTAACGTTTGGTCTGCATCCGTGACCGGCATCTTCAGAGGTTCTGTTGGAAATGAAGCAAGTGGAGTATATATCGTTGGAGGTTTAAATATATATTATTATAATTATCATTATTATATTTATGTATACCCCACTTTATCTCCTCCAAAGGGGAATCAAAGCAGCTTAACATAAAAATGTTAGCACAGCATTTAAAATGTACAAATATACAAATATTAAAAAAGAATAAAATATAAACAGTATTAAAAGATTCACAGTTAAAACCATTCAAACATATTTGGTGCATATTCAAAGCTAATCTATTTTGAAGATAAAATGATGGGTTACTTTTAACAACAACAACACCAACAACAACAACAACAACAACAACATTGTATTCTGCCCTATCTTCCCGAGGGGACTCAGGGTGGTTAACAACAAGTAGTGGCAAACATTCAGTGCTAACTTATTACTAAACCAAAACCACCAGAACTACCCAATTTATCTCCAAGTAAGTGATTGCATGATTGGGCAGTGAGGTTTGGCTTAGTGTTGTAGGACCTTGGATACCTTCAAGTAGACAATCCCACCAAGATTATTTGTGGAGAGAGATTGAGATGTTTTTGCCCCATTATTGCCAAGACCAACAGAACCAAGTAGACAGTAGGGTGAGTTAAATAATTTTCTTTGGTGTGCTTGAACAACTGGGTCCTTTGACAACTTTATTCAAACATTATTGTTATTTTATTTCCAGCATTTCTACCCCATCCTTCTCAACCCCCGAGGGGGGACTCAGGACAGCTTACACTCGGCAACAATTCGATGCCGTACATACAAGCAAATACAACAATATAATAACAGTTTAAAACAATAGATAAATCATTAAGTTAAAAACAGTTAAAAGCAATTTGTCAAACTCATGAAGCCATTCCAGTTCATAGCTATTTTAAGCTAAGTAAATGACTTTGAGAACCTTATTGTAAAGCAAGACTATGGCAATCTGAAGTTGTAACATACCAAACAGTCAATAATGATCTATGGGGTGATACTTTGGCTGCTGAATGCGTCATGGAGGAGGGAGAGGCTTCCGTTAACCGAGGAGCCCCCATAGAAGTCGTGGTGGGGAGGGGGAGATACGGGAAAAGGAGACCTTTAATTCGGCCTAGGGACTGTGGAACAACATTAGTAATTCCAAATCGGTCTCCTGATATGGTAAGTTGGTGTAACCAGGATGGCGGTCCCTCCGGATTGAAAGTGATGCTGTTGAACGCCAGATCTGTCAATGGTAAAACAACTTTCATCCAGGATTTAATCCTGGATGAACGGGCAGATCTGGCGTGCATCACAGAGACCTGGTTGGACGAAGCGGGAGGTGTAAACTTGACCCAGCTTTGCCCACCAGGTTTCTCTGTGCAGCACCAACCGAGATCCGGAGGGCGGGGTTGCAGTGGTCTACAGAGATTCCATTCTTCTAACCAGGGCCCCCATCCCGCAGTCAACAAATTTTGAATGCGTCCACCTGAGGGTGGGTGACCGGGACAGATTAGGGATTCTGTTAGTGTACCGTCCACCTCGCTGCACTACAGTCTCCCTACCTGAGCTAGCGGGGGTGGTCTCGGACCTGGCATTGGAGTCCCAACGGCTGCTTGTGCTGGGGGACTTCAATGTCCACGCCGAGGCTGCCCTAACGGGAGCGGCTCAGGACTTCATGTCTACCATGGCGACCATGGGGCTGTCCCAGCGGGTATCTGGCCCCACCCACAGTGCTGGACATACATTGGACTTAGTTTTTATCAGGGATGGGAGGAAGGTGGCGGTGTTGAGGAGTTATCCATCTCTCCGTTGCCATGGACCGACCACCACCTGGTCAGCTTTAGACTCACTGCACCCCCTAACCTCCGCAGAGGTGGAGGACCCATTAAGTTGGTCCGCCCCAGGAGGCTTATGGATCCGGATGGATTCCTGACGGCTCTTGGGGAATTTCCCGCCACCTCGGTTGGTGATCCTGTTGATGCCCTGGTCGCTCTCTGGAATGGGGAGATGACTAGGGCAATAGACACGATCGCTCCAGAACGTCCCCTCTCAAGTAGCCGAGCTAAACCAGCTCCTTGGTTCACCGAGGAGCTGGCAGCGTTGAAGCGAAAGAAGAGGGAACTAGAGAGCGTGTGGCGTTCGGATCCGAGCGAGCAAAATCGAACACGGTTTGTGTCCTTTTTAAGGGCATATGCCGCGGCAATAAAAGCCGCAAAGAAGACTTTCTTTGCGGCCACTATTGCGTCTGCAAAGAACCGTCCGGCTGAACTGTTCCGAGTTGTCAGAGGCCTGTTAAAACCCACCACTCAGGATGGGTGCCCTGATGACTCGGCAGCTCGCTGTGAAGCTTTTGCTCAGTTCTTTGCAGACAAAGTCGCTTTGATCCGCTCTGGACTGGATACCATATTAACGGCAGTCTCTGAGGATGTAACACGAGCATCTGCTTGTCCAGTTTTGATGGATTCATTTCAATTGGTTCAATCCGAGGATGTGGACAAGGTGCTTGGAGGAATGAGAGCTACCACATGCATCCTAGACCCCTGCCCATCCTGGCTTCTAAAGGAGGCCAGAGGGGGATTGGCCGAGTGGGTGAAGGTGGTGGTTAATGCCTACCTTCAGGAAGGCAAAATTCCAGCCAGCTTAAAACAAGCTGTGATAAAACCGCTGTTGAAAAAACCATCACTGGACCCCACTCAATTCGTCAACTATCGGCCTGTTTCCAATCTCCCCTTTTTGGGCAAAGTCCTGGAACATGTGGTGGCCTCACAACTCCAGGCATTCTTGGTAGACACGGATTATCTGGACCCGGCACAGTCTGGCTTTAGGCCGGGACATGGAACCGAGACAGCCTTGGTCGCCTTAGTGGATGATCTGTGCCGGGAGCTCGACAGGGGGAGTGTGTCCCTGTTGGTGCTGCTGGACCTCTCAGCGGCCTTCGATACCGTCGACCACGGTATCCTTCTGGGACGCCTCGCGGGAATGGGTCTTGGAGGTACTGTTTTGCAGTGGCTCCGCTCATTCCTCGAGGGTCGGTCTCAGAAGGTGTTACTGGGAGACTCCTGTTCAACCCCACAACCTTTGTCTTGTGGGGTTCCTCAGGGTTCAATACTGTCTCCCATGTTGTTTAACATCTACATGAAGCCGCTGGGCGAGATCATCCGGAGTTTCGGAGTGCGATGTCATCTGTACGCAGATGATGTCCAACTCTGTCACTCCTTTCCACCTGCTACTAAGGAGGCTGTTGAGGTCCTGAACCGGTGCTTGGCCGCTGTGATGGTCTGGATGAGGGCGAACAAATTGAAATTGAATCCAGACAAGACAGAGGTACTCCTGGTCAGTCGCAAGGCCGAACAGGGTATAGGGTTACAGCCTGTGTTGGATGGGGTTGCACTCCCCCTGAAGACGCAGGTTCGCAGCTTGGGTGTGATCCTGGACTCATCGCTGAGCCTGGAACCCCAGGTTTCGGCGGTGACCAGGGGAGCATTCGCACAGTTAAAACTTGTGCGCCAACTGCGACCGTACCTTGGGAAGTCTGACTTGGCCACGGTAGTCCACGCTCTGGTTACATCCCGTCTTGACTACTGCAACGCTCTCTACGTGGGGTTGCCTTTGAAGACGGCTCGGAAGCTCCAATTAGTCCAACGGGCGGCAGCCATGATACTAACCGGAGCGGGGCGCAGGGAGCATACAACTCCTCTGCTGTACCAGCTCCACTGGCTGCCGATTTGCTACCGGGCCCAATTCAAAGTGCTGGCACTGGCCTTTAAAGCCCTAAACGGTTCTGGCCCAACTTATCTATCCGAACGTATCTCGGCCTATCAGCCCACCAGGACCCTAAGATCTTCTGGGGAGGCCCTGCTCTCTATCCCGCCTGCTTCACAGGTGCGGCTGGCGGGAACGAGAGACAGGGCCTTTTCTGTGGTGGCCCCTCGGCTTTGGAACGCCCTCCCCATAGAGGTGAGATCAGCCCCTTCGCTGATGGTATTTCGAAAAAGGTTGAAGACATGGATGTTTAAACAAGCATTCGATTAATCTGGTGCAACGAAACTGATGAACAAGGATTGGTTAATCACAGACGACGAAATTGGATTGCGACTACAATTAAGAGATGCATTGGATTATTATTGGTGGCCCAATAATATTGTGTATTGTGTATGTGTTTTTATGCTTTTTAATGGAATATTGCTGCTTGTCGTTGTGTTGTAAACCGCGTTGAGTCGCCGATTTAGGCTGAGAAACGGCGGTATATAAGCACAGTAATAAATAAATAAATAATAATAATAAATATTGCTGTTAATGTTAAAAAGTGGTATGGAAATTGGGTTGTTGTAGGTTTTTTTGGGCTATAAGGCCATTCTTTCCTGATATTTCGCCTGCATCTATGGCAAGCATCCTCAGAGGTTGTGAAGTCTGTTGGAACTAGGAAAATTGGGTTTATATATCTGTGGAATAACCAGGATGGGACAAAGAACTCTTGTCTGCTGGAGCTAGGTGTGAATGTTTCAACTGACCACCTTGATTAGCATTTGGTGGCCTGGCAGTGGCTTGTTAGTGCCTGAGGGAATCTTTTGTTGAAAGGTGATTAGCTGTCCCTGATTGTTTCCCCTCTGTTGTTTTGCTGTTGTAATTTTAGTGTTTTTTTTTTAATACTGGTATGGAAATATGGTAGTGTTTTTTAATGGTATGGAAATATTTTAAATAAACCTAGTACCTTGTTTTTCAGGTGTGCCATAAAATTAATTCGTCTGAATATCAGTTTTCCAGCTTTGTGTTTTCAGTGTCTTTCCCACCACAGCTCTCTGTCAGGGAGGTGAGTATTTGCTAGTTCGTTCTTTCTTTCTTTCATACTTAAACTGAACCTGCCATGGAATAAAATAGGATGTTCCCAAAATTATTTTGCTTTTGGATGTTAGCAGATCTGCTTGACTAGTACTGATGTAATGGTCTATCACATCTGACAATGCTAAACCAGTAGAATTTAGATAGGTTGGGGCAAAAGGGTGAGTCAGCTCTCAGGTGTTTTGTCTAGGTTTTGTATATTTACCAGACTAACTGAAAGCATGGTGCTAGAATTGGAATCAGTGGAAGGGATCTGATGGTGAGCTTTGATGTTCAGTCTAGTCTATCCCACACTACCATGAATTTTATGATTGCGCATTCCATATCCAGAACTCCGAAATCCAGAATTGCCCACATGTTGTGACTCAGGTCCCAAAGATTGCCCAACACAGCAGATTAAGGGTTAACAAAGGTCTTTAATGAGTCTTTAACAGGCTAGCAGCACTTAATCAGCAATGCTACTTAGCAAAACAAAAGGACCTTCGTGCAGGTAAACAATAACAGAGATAACCCGGAATATCCCAGGTCTCAGTCTCAGGAAAAAGGAAAGCTGAAGCAAAAACAAACAGTGGCAAAAGCGGAGTCAAACAGTCCTTGGTCGATAACGGAGACAGGTAACAAACAAAGTCCGGCAGGCAGATGACATGGTCCAGAGACGTTCCAAAAGCAGGGGCAAGGCGAAGTCACTCACGTAGTTCCAATCCGAAGTCAAGGTACACGAAGACAAGATAGCTGGATTCCCAGGACCCAAATGAAGGTTAGGCAGAACAAGACACCCGATGCAACGCTTTGTCCTCTGCAAAGCTACACATCCCAGAACCCCCATTTTATTAGCAATCGCTATAGCTAGATTGATCCTCATCACTAGCATCTGGGTCATTTCCTTCAGCTGCTGGCTCGTTACTCCGCCATCTCTGCCAGCGTTGATCCAAACCAGGATCCTGCAAAGATGTACCTGCCTGCCATGTATCTTGGAATCCCTCAAACTCGTCACTAGACGTGGGCTGTGTACATATGTCCTGAATTTCCCTAACCCGAGTCCAGTCCAATTCCTCCTCCATTTCCCCATTACTGGCTTCCAGTTCATCGGAACTGAAATTGTCAGCTGTATCTTTAAGCCGTTTACTCATAGTTTCTTCATCACTATCAGACTCACTGGCAACCCGCTTTACTCCCCGGTAATCCAATTCCTCCAAATCCTCGGGTCCAAACCTGCAAAATCTTCCGTGTTGCTAGGTGCCAAAATAATATCTCGAATACGCTTCAGCTGACACTGATCCAGCTCTGACTCAGCATCACTCCTCCTTCTCCTACAACTGGTAGTAGTTTCACTGCCAAGACTCTGAGCCTCAACACCACATGGGCAGCTGTGATAGCGACACTTTTGCTTTCCGATGGTTCAGTATACACAAACTTTGTTTAATGCACATAATAATGTAAATATTGTGTATAAAACTTCATTCAGGCTATGAGTATAAGATGTGTATGAAGCATAAATTAGTTTTGTGTTGAGACGTGAGTCTCTCGTCTCCAAGATACCTCATTACGTATGTGTACAAAAATACAGGGATTCAAAAAGCTAAGCAAAATACAAAATCTAAACCATTTTGATCTCAAGCATTTCAGATAAGGAATACTCAACCTCAAATTTATTCTCCCCAAAAATGTTTGTCAATCAACTCCAGAAAAAAAGCCATAAAGAGCTTGTTTCATTTATCCCTTTTCTCTTTCTTTTTGGGTCCGTGCCTGAAGCATGCAGCATGGTTGCTGGTAAAAGAGGAAATAGAGTGAGTACTTTCTGGTGCATTTTTTTCTTTCACATGAGCATTTTATTGAAGGAAGAAGGCACTGTGACTGACAACTGAAGTAACATATTATTGTTTACGGTTTTTATATTGGGCATGGAACAACTTTGGCCCTCCAGGTGTTTTGAACTTCCACAATTCTTAACAGCCTTTTTGGCAACTCTTTGCTCTGGGGAGGCCAGTGGCCTACCTGTAGTCCTAGTAAAGAAAGATGTAGGAGACAGTTGAGGGGATATGATGAAATGATAGCAGGAATCCTACTGGAGGTGAAATAGCATGCATGAGTAAGGAGACCAAGAGAACCGATTGAGCACCTAGTGCTGATTTCTGCGAAAAGAGATGCAAAAATGACATTTACTCCTTCCTTTGCTCCTACAGTCCAATCCGAGGGCTATGGAAATGTGGTCCTTGGAATGAATGTTGCAGCCAAACAGACCCGAATTTACTGGGGAAAGCTATGACTGTTCATGTGTACAATTGCCATGCCAAATTTGAGAGGAAGGCAGGCTATTAACTAGATAAACATATACATTAAATGATTTTTTTCAGTTATGAAAGGCTTTGCTACTTCTGTGGTATCATTGATTAATTCTGGTATGAACTTTACCATTGCAAGTGAAGCAGATGCCCCATGCTCCAAATACAAGTAGCTTTAGGCATTTGAATGGCAGCAGATTCTTCCAAGGAGTGTGTTGCACTCTAAGGCTGGCCACCACCTCTGTACTTAACACACACTCCAGTCCAAGGCAAAATAGCAAAGTAGTTTATTGAAGGAAAGCAATTCAGTAAAATAGCATAAAAATGAAAGTCCAAATATCAAGAATAATCCACAGAAATCAGAGTACAGGAGTAGCATCAAAAACCAGGAATACAAAAGCAAAACATGAGATTCAGGAACTGAAAACATGAGATTCAGGAATGGTCCTCAAAATATGGAATCATGAGACATGAACAATAGGAAACATGGAACTAGAAATCCCTTGTCTTATATGTATTTCCAGTACAGGCAGTCCCCAAGTTACAAACATCCAACTTGCGTATGACATTAAGTTAAGAACAGAGATGAAACAACAGGAAGTGAGACAAATCTACCCCTTGGAATGGAAATTCACGCCTGAAAGTGTTATGGGGAAAAGGTGTCTTCTCTGAAGCCTGTGTTTCCACAACAAGCCAAATTTTTCAGTTATTACAGGGACAGAAGGTGAGGTTTGAGCTTATTCCTCTGGCTTCAAGGAAGAGTCCAGTCTTGATTTGCTCTTGCACCCATTTATTTATCACAGGAACATACAACCCAAACACCCCAGAGAAGTGGTGCCATGCTGGGAATTGCTTGCATTTGCCTTATGCTATTTCCCTTTCTTTCATGGTTTAGGAAACAGGATTTTGTGGTGGAAAAAGAAGACCTTGTCCAGTTGAAAGAGGCGTACAAGTGGATCACTCATCCTCTCTTCTTGGAGGAGCTGGGCGTCCCTGCAGATGGAAAGGTATTTTATAACTGGGATTGTGGTGCAGTTGGCGGAGTGTCAGCTGCATTAAGATCACTCTGACCAAAAAGGTCATGAGTTCGAAGCCAGCCCGGGTTGGAGTGGGTTTCCAACCAATTGTGTGTAGCTTGTTGTCGACCTTTGCAACCTGAAAGACAGTTGCATCTGTCAAGTAGGAAAATAAGGTACCACCTTAAAGTGCGGGGAGGCTAAATTAACTGATTGATGAGGCCATAAAGAAGCCTCCAGCAAAGCATTCCAGTGGGGAAGCATGCGGGGAATGCGGAAGTGCTTCATCAGTGTCGCAGATGGACGATGAAAGCAACAGCTCCCCTGGCGGCCAGAAAAAGTTAAATAGCCTCTGTGTATGTCTGTATATGTTTGTATGTAAAAATTGGCATTGAATGTTTGCCATATATGTGTACACTGTAAATATCTTAATGATTAATGAAATAGTTCAGTAGAAGTCGTACGTTCAGCTAGTCAAGCAACAGGAGATAATGTCGCTCTTCATTTTGAGTTGGCGGAAGGGAAGATAGAGCAACAATGAGGCAGCGGTTTCATTTGAAACTAGTTGGTGAAGAAGAGAGAAATTATTTTATGCCTACTTCTCAAGATAATTTTTAATTCTGGGACACAAATAACCCCTCCATCCAGCGCTGGAGAAGGATCGTTTCAGAGAGTTTTCAGATCTATAGAAGAGAGTGGAGGATGTTATATTGCCAGTAGTAATTTCCAAAAATAACTTAACATGGTTTGTTTTATTGCATTGCAGAGCTTGTTTGAAGTATGTGTGGTCTTTGCCCATCCAGAAACGGATGCAGATTGCCGTTTTCTGTAAGTTGCAACGTGTTGTCCATGCACATTGACACCAAAAACAAGCAAAAAAGGTTGAACATTCCTAGGCTTGGCTCCAGGCTTTGATGGGTTTTGGGCCTGCCTTCATCAGTACCCTTCTAGGGAAAAAAACACTCAAATCATGGAAATCACATCAATGCCAATGTCACCTTTATTTATAATTGATTCTTCCACTTTTTCTTCAAAAATGAAACTCAAGAACAGCTGAATTGTGGAGATTTGCATAGTTAATTAATATGCACAGTCACCAACCAATTCCTTCAAATAAATCCACAGAGACAGAAATCCAATGAAATATAAGACCTTAGATTTATTTTGTTGCCTATATATATATATATATGCTTGAAATATGTGGCTTCTATGTTTCAAATATTTTTAATTAGTATCATCTCTGTATTGGCAAAAGCTTTCATGGCTGGAATCACTGGGTTGCTGTGAGTTTTCCGGGCTGTATAGCCATGTTCCAGAAGCATTCTCTCCTGACGTTTCGCTGACATCTTCTGTTTGGTTATCCATAGTTTTGTAAATCTGTGTCGAGTTCTTTCGGTTCTTGCCTACTTATGTTTTGTTTCTTTTGATGGACCAATTTCATTTTTATTTAGCTCAAAAATAAATACTGTGGTTTCATTTAGATTTGATGCGGCCAATTAGATTTGATGCTGTTGACTAGGACAGTTTTAAATGGTGTATTTTAATATTTTGATTTTTTTTAATGTTTATGTATTGTATGTGAATTTGTGTCCTGGCATTGAATGCTTGCCATGTATATGCTGTGCTCCGCCCTGAGTCCCCTTTGGGGTGAGAAGGGCGGAATAGAAATGTTTTAAATAAATAAATAAATAAATAAATAAATAAATTTAGAAGTATGTCATATGTAGAGTTCAATCATATATAAGAAAGAATAGGGCGATGCTATCAGCCCCAAACGCAAAGCACATCCATGTCGGCACAAGGGTTTAATCCATTGTGCCATCGGGGGCTCCAAGATAGTAAATGCAAACATCTTTTTCAAAAGAATAGGTGTAGTTTGATGGATTTCTCTTGTTTACACCCAGAGCCTCAGCATGTCCAGGTTGCTTCAAGCCGGCAAAGAACAAACAGGTAAGACAGTTTGAGTCAATATCTCCTCAATGTACAGTATTCTTCACTTCAACTGGAATGGACACTGAAATGTTCATTTCTCAAACAACATAAGCATTATTATTTTGTATTATGCATTATTCCTGTCAAAAATGGATAACCTCATTTCATAGAATCATAGAACCATAGAGTTGGACGAGACCTCATGGGCCATCCAGTCCAACCCCCTGCCAAGAAGCAGGAGAATCGCGTTCAAAGCACCCCCAATAGATGGCCATCTGTTTAAAAGCTTCCAAAGAAGGAGCCTCCAACTCACTCCGGGGCAGAGAGTTCCACTGCTGAACAGCTCTCACAGTGAGGAAGTTCTTCCTCATGTTCAGATGGAATCTCCTTTCTTGTAGGTTGAAGCCATTGTTCCGCGTCCTAGTCTCCAGGGCAGCAGAAAACAAGCTTGCTCCCTCTTCTCTATGACTTCCCCACACATATTTACACATGGCTATCATGTCTTCTCTCAGCCTTCCCTCCTTCAGGCTAAACATGCCCAGCTCTTTAAGCCGCTCCTCATAGGGCTTTATATATTATATATATATTTAAATATATAAAAGAAGACAATTATGCTGGGGAAAGTGGAAGGCAAAAGGAAGAGGGGCCGACCAAGGGCAAGATGGATGGATGGCATCCTTGAACTGACTGGACTGACCTTGAGGGAGCTGGGGGTGGTAACGGCCGACAGGGAGCTCTGGCGTAGGCTGGTCCATGAGGTCACGAAGAGTCGGAGACGACTGAACGAATGAACAACAACATAAAAGTAATATATCTTACAGTGATGGGATAATATGCATACACTTTTTAGCCCAAACTGAAACTGAAAAGGTACAGTAAAATTGTGTAAATAAACTTGCAAATATATACATTTGCATAATAAAACACCTAGGGTAATTTAGAGCTGATTAGCAAAATAGAATAATCTAATATACTATCTGAAGAGAACCAGATAAGCTGTTAGTGAAAAATATGCCTGTAACTATTTAGCTGAACTAAAGGAAATAAAGGAATATGTTTGGAATGCTTGTGTGATACTTGATTTTTGTCCTGCAGTCTGTCTTCACCAGAATGGCGGTCGTTAAGGCTTTGGATATGATAAGTGAAGAAGATTTTCAAAAGTAAGTAACCCCTGAACCTATTATAGCCATAATATATTAACAGTTTGCATCACAATTAAAGAGAAGAGTTAAAGGCAAAGACATCCATCAAACAGCAAGCTGAGTATCCCTTATCTTGCATTCCAAGGTCTGAAATACTCCAAAATTGTTCACATGAGTGGCTAAGGTAGTGGCATCTCTGTTTTCTATTGGTTCAAAGTATACAAACTTTATTTTGGGCACAATTTTTAAAAAATACTGTATAAAACGTACCTTTGGTCTATGTATATAAGGTGTATATGAAATATAAATGGATTTTATATTTAGACTTGGGTCCCATCTCCAAGATATCTCATTAGTAAAGGTAAAGGTTTTCCCTGACATTGTCTAATGGAGTCCAGCTTTGAGGGTGGGGGATGGTGCTCATCTCAATTTCTAAGCCGAAGAACCGACGTTGTCCATAGACACCTCCAAGGTCATGTGGCCAGCATGACTACATGGAGTGCCGTAACCTTCCCGCAGAATCGGAACCTATTGATCTACTCATATTTGCATGTTTTCGAACTGCTAGGTTTGATTCCCCCTCAGGGGAATTAATACTGTAAATCAATACTGTAAATAAATAAATAAGTTGGCAGAAGCTGGGGCTAACAGTGGGAACTCACCCTGCTCCCTGGATTCGAACCACCAACCTTTTGGTCAGCAAGTTCAGCAACTCAGTGCTTTAACGCGTGGCGCTACCAGGGGAGCCATTAAGTATCTAATGAAGTATAAGCAAATACAGGTATCCTAAAATCCCAAGAAATCAGAATCCCAGTCAATCTGATAGAGTCCTCTGGCTTTTTGGATGCACGATTGTTAAATTTTAGGTGTCCCACCACATAATTCCTTCCATGTTTTCTTTTAGTATTTAATTGGAAAATGTCTCAGAAACAACTATTCATTCTCAGTTTCCTTCCTGATGTGCTCACTTCTATTTACACTGGATGTTTCTGGTTATTGTTTTTAATGGGTTATTTTTTTGTTATCTTCCTCTGAATAGAAACTTCCGATGTCCGCCGAGTTTATCCACGGCCCCTTGCACAGCTGTTGACATTCAGTGTACCAACGGTGCCATCTTTGTGGCTGGTAAATTACCTATTTTCATTAGAAATACGATCTTTTTAGAAATGCCATTATTTATCTTCCTTGTCGGAGGACTTTTGTTCTTCCTTAGGCCTTTCTTAGTGTTGATGTACTACATTCTGTATAGATCAGTCATGGGCAAACTTCAGCTCTCCAGGTGTTTTGGACTTCAACTCCAGTAGGTTGTTAGGAATTGTAGGAGTTGAAGTCCGAAATACCCAGAGAGCCGAATTTGCCCATGCCTGGTCTAGATACCTGGCTCCTCTTCATGCCCTCTGGAAGTCTTTTGAACTACTTTAAATAGATATTGAAATGTAGACTTTGGGGGCAGATTATATACTTGTATATTGGCCCATGTTCAGTGCAAACTGGCAGGTGTCTGTGGATCGAAATGCATGTAGTCATATGAACACAGCTTTAATATGGGTAGCTACATGTTAACTCTTCCATTGATAAGACTACTTGCAAAACTGATCCATAGTCAAGGAACTAATGGATGTAGATTACAAGGAAAGACATTAAGTAGAAATCCTTTACCATAAGAAGTGTTTGGCAGTGGAACAGATTGTCATAAGAGTTAGAAAGATTCTGCTTCTTTAAACAGAGGGTAGTTGGATATCTTTCAAGACTGCTTTAGTTGTGTATGATAGTCATGCATAAAGTTGTGAGAGGAAATCATAGGGAGGAGGATTGTTTTCTGCTGCTCTGTAAACTAGGACGCAATGGAACAATGGCTTCAAACTATAGGGAAGGAGATGCCACCTGGAGATTAGGAAGAACTTCCTAACTGTGAAAGCTGTTCAGCAGTAGAACTCTCTGCTCTGGAGCATGGTGGAGGCTCCTTCTTTGGAGGCTTTTAAGCAGAGGCTGCATGGTCATCTGTCGGGGGTGCTTTGAAGGAGATTTTCCTGCTTCTTGGCAGGGGGTTGAACTGGATGACCGACGAGGTCTATTCCAATTCTGTGATTCTATAAATGCGATTTTCCTGCTTCTTGGCAGGGGATTGGACTGGATGGCCCACGAGGTCTATTCCAACTCTGATTCTATGTTTATATGATTCTGACCTGCATGGCCTCAGGTTGGACTCAAAGGACCTTTGAACTCTAAGATTCTATTATTCTAGTGAGGGTTAGATATTTTATTACACAAATTCAATGCAATTTTTTCACAGAAATCCAGCCTAGTTGAAGGAGGTGGCCACATTACCGAGATACCAAGTTACAACTTGCTTTTCCTAATACGGTCTGGTCCTAATTTAAGGCGACTGCTTGAAATCATGCCTCTCTTTTGCTAGCCTGCTTCGATTTGAGGGGCTTTTCATTTGGCAGGAATCTGTAAGAAGAGAAATCTTTGTGGGGGGAAAAATGAGCATTCTTGCATCCAACTATCTGGGTCTTCCACCAAAATCTCTTGGTGGAAATAACAACTGTGTTGTTCCAATTAGCCCAATTTCCTTATTGGAGAGAAGATGTTTTCAGTGAGGGATAAATGTTTCACCAGTTAGAGTCTCACTTGTGGCAAGAAAGTATGTGAGATCAGAGGAAGTACTGAAGTTTGAGAAACAGGAATAGGCAAACTTTGGCCCTCCGGGTGTCTTGGATGTCAACTCCCACCATTCCTAACAGCTGGCAGGCTTTTAGGAATTATGCGACTTAAAGTCCAAAACACCTGGAGGGATGAAGTTTGCCAATGCCTGATTTAATGGTTCTGTTCATGTAAAAATATTTGTCATTGCTTTTGCTAAACATAGGTAGTAAATACTCTGGGTGTGTGCCTTTTTTGAAATAGGGAGATATAACAAATACTCCAGGACGTTACCTCAAACTCCCTGGATTATAGATGGAGAGAGGAAGATGGAGTCTTCTGTGGAAGAGTTGATCTCGGAGCATCTTATGGCTGCCTTCAAAGCGGATAGTAAGCATTTCTGTGTATATTTGTTGTACATGCCTATGGAAGTAATTATGCCACAAACCATGCATTTTTATTGTAAGTTTTTATTTTGAAACCAGAGTTGGTACATTTACACTGACCCCCAACTCCAACTCTATAGCCCATATATAGAATATTAGCCACCCCCTGCCACACGTTGCTGTGGCCAGTCTGGTGATCTGGTAAAATAAAGTAATGAGAAAGTGTTGGTTTCTAATATATGTAATTTCTTGATGCTTGTGGGTAAAGAAGGTAAAAACGTGGATGTGGGACCAGGCCTTCGGGCAATCAGACAATCATGCAGAAAGGACAATTGAAAATGTTGACAATGGCTTGGAAAAGGATTATGGATAAGTTAAGCAGAGTACTCAATCATAGCATGCGGCTAGATAAAGGACCACTAGACTGGCTGTTACTGCATGAAGATCTGGCCTTGATGTCCTCTAGTTCATCCCCCCATCCAAAATACTGGCCAGGTGCTCTGGCCTTTACACCTGCTCCTCACCACGCTGAGGGCTCCATCTATGACCACTTGTCAATTGGCCATGCCCCATCTTTTTTTTCAGATGGCTAGTCAAACACTGGGCACTTAGTTTGTGCTGCAGAGCTCCCAAGAGAAGTAGGTCTGTGTATGGGGATTCCTACGATCTCTGGGAGGGGGAAGTATGACGGTAGGTGCAGGCCAAACACTAGAGGGAGGTTGAGTTGGCGGGAGGCACAGCCCCCCTCTGACCTGCGGCCTATCCCCAGGCACACCTGTGACAGGCGACCAGTTTCCTCCCCTCCTACTCTGGTGTTGGTGAATGCTAGGTCCATATCACAGAAACTTGGATCCAAGAGGGGGATGAGATCCTACTCCAGGAAATAACATTTCCAGGTTATGTAATCACTCGCCAGATGCGGACTGGGAGGTGGGGGTGGGGTGACTGTGCTCTCCCAAGAAAGCTTCTCTCTTAGGGCATTTCTGGCATTGAAAGTGTTGGCCTGGTGTGGGATTCCTTTGAGAGTATAACCTTTCTGCTGATGTACCGTGCACCTAGCGCACCAGCAGACAGCCTATCCCAGCTGCTGGAGACTGTGTCAGAGTGGTCCTTGAGGTTCCCCAGACTATTGTCTTGGGGGATGTCAACGTCCATGCTGATGCAGACTCTTGTTCTTCAGCAGCTATGGACCTACTGTCTACCATGGAGACACTAGGACTCTCGCTCTGTATTACTGGGCCCACACATCAGGCGGGACACACGCTAGATATGATTTTCAGCGCAGGAATTCAAGTGACCCAAGCCTCTACTATAGGGGTTCCATGGTCGGATCACTGTGCTCTGAGAATCCAGTTGGAGCATGCCTACCCACCCTGCAAGGGCGCCGAGCCAATTTGGGCTTGCCCAAGGAGACTTATGGAACCCAGTAGGTTCCGGAATGCTCTGAGGGATCTGGAGCCTGCCAGCAACTCGATCGATGTGCAGGTGGACACATGGAACATCGAGCTATCCAATGCACTCGACGAGATTGCCCCTAGATGCCCTCTCCGACCCCACCGAAATCGGTATCCTTGTTTTACCGAGGAACTTCGACTGATGAAGCAGGAAAAGAGATGGCTAGAGGGCGTGTGGTGAGAACTCAGTGACTTTTTTTAGGCTGAAAAAGTCCTCTATGGTTCTATTCGAGTCAAGGTTATTTATTATTTTACTTATTATTATTATTATTATTATTATTATTATTATTATTATTATTTGAAACACAACAAGATGAATCCACAGCAGACACTCTGCTGGCTGTTGAATTGGATCACACATTGGACACTTCCCAAGGGTCTAGGACTGTGTGATGTATTGGCGAATAATGCATGCAGATCTCAGTAAGGTGGCCTTTGGCAGCTGGCAGCTGGTAATTTTGTCAGCGCTGATTGTGTTTAAGTGCAGTCCAAGGTCTTTAAGCACTGCACCCAGTGTACCAATCACCACTGGGACCACCTTTACTGGCTTGTGCCAGAATCTTTGCAGTTCAATTTTTAAATCCTCATATCGTGTCAGCTTTTCCAGTTGTTTCTCTGCAGTCCTGCTATGATTATGATTATGATTATGATTATTATCCTTGCAGATTTAGCAGGCTTTTGTGGGTTTGTAAACTGAGCAGGTGTTTCCTCTTTTCTTTTTTAAAGGTTTTAATTTTTCATCCTCTGGAAGAGAAGATGTGGATGTTAGGACATTAGGCAACGGTAAGCTTGCCCTTCTCCCCTTCAAAATGGCCTAAGTGGGGATTATCCCAAGGAAAAACCAGCCAATCAAACTCAACCGCGCCAGCATCTTGAATGGAAAAGGACTGTTAGGATATGCCTCTTAAAAAGCTAGCTGCTTTCCTCTCTCCTTGTACCAACCATGCAGACCAAAGTATGCAAATCGAAGACCTGAGAGAGAGAGAGAAACATTGTATACTGGGTGCAGAGATACAGTTTCTAATTATTAAGTCATTTCCTAATGCTAAACATGGGTTTATAAACATGTATCCTTATTCCCACCTGTCTCCCTTGCTTCGCTTGGGTTTTTGTAAGCAGGGAGGCCATTTGCAATTGAGTTGGTGAATCCTCGGAGGGTCCGCTTGGATGCAGACGAGATGAAGGCACTTCAGCAGGTAAATAAATCGTTTATGAAGGGTGTAAGATCTCTTTGCTCAGCTAGATTCATAAAAGTAGAGCTATTAAATCAAGCATGGGCAAACTTTGACCCTCCAGGTGTTTTGGAATTAGGAATTGTGGGAGTTGAAGTGCAAAACACCTAGAGGGCCGAAGTTTGTCTGTGCAAGCTATAAAGAGTCTATGGAAGGGAAACCACAAGACCCAGGACTATATTGGAGTTTATCTCTTGCTTGGGTACTTAGGCTTTGTGATTTGATTTACAGTATATTCTGGCGTATAAGACTACTTTTTAACCCAAGAAAATCTTCTCAAAAGTCAGGGGTCGTCTTATACGCGGCTGTAGTCTTATGCATGGGAGTCGTCTTAACTCTATATTTTAACTGGAAAAGTTGGGGGTCGTCTTATACACCCAGTCGTCTTATATGCCGGAATATACGGTATACATGCTGTGTATTCACCTATAACACATGGATTTCTTTTTAAAGTTATGTTGAAGTCCAATTGTTAGTCCAGAGAACACTGGACCCTTTAAATCAATGGGTTTACAGGACTATTGGTATTCAGCAACTGATTCGTTGAGTCACTTTGAATCATAGAGTCACAGAGTTGGAAGAGACCCCAGAGTCCATCCAGTCCAACTCCCTTCTGCCATTTATTTATTTTATTTCTCGTCTCAGGGCAGCCAGTCAACAATTGATTGGCTGCCTTCTGCCATGTAGGAAAAGCACGATCAAAGCACCCCCAACAGATGGCTATCCAACCTGTTTAAAAGCCTCCCAAGAAGGAGACTCCATTACACTCCAAGGCAACATAGTCCATTGTCAAGCATAATATTATAGGGTTGTTGTAGGTTTTTTCGGGCTATATGGCCATGTTCTAAAGGCATTTTCTCCTGATGTTTCACCTGCATCTATGGCAAGCATCCTCAGAGGTAGTGAGGTCTGTTGGAACTAGGAAAAAGGGTTTATATATCTGTGGAATGACCAGGGTGGGACAAAGGACTCTTGTCTGTTGGAGCTAGGTGTGAATGTCAACTAATCACCTTGATTAGTATTTGATTGTCTGGCAGTGCCTGGAGCAATCTTTTGTTGAGAGGTCATTAGATGTCCTTGTTTGTTTCCTCTCTAGTTAGTTCGATATAAGCAAATGGTCAACATTCTGATAGGTCCTGTTGCATGGTATAAAGCAGGGGTCCTCAAACTAAGGCCCGGGGGCCGGATACGGCCCTCTAAGGTCATTTATCTGGCCCTTGCTCAGGGTCAACCTAAGTCTGAAATGACTTGAACGCACACAACAACAACAACAACAACCCTATCTCATCAGCCAAAGGCAGGCCCACACTTCCCATTGAAATACTAATAAGTTTATATTTGTTAAAATTTTCTTCATTTTTATTATTGTATTGTTTAAAGTGTTTTTTGCACTACAAATAAGGTATGTGCAGTGTGCATAGGAATTCATTCATTTTTTTCAGATTATAATCTGGCCCTCCAACAGTTTGAGGGACTGTGACCTGGCCCTCTGTTTAAAAAGTTTGAGGACCCCTGGTATAAAGGATAGGGTTGTTTAATTAGCTTAATTAAATAGAGATGCAGACTCTCAAATGATCTTCTGGTATCTGAAAGCCAAAAATCAAAAAACTGATAAGATAGAAAGCTGAGCACTTTCTGCTTGACCGAAACAAACCTTATTTGAAAGCACACTGGCACACACCAACTCAGCAGTGCTGATAATCCCTTGACTTATTTGAGGTAACTTGTGAAAGAGTGTGATTGTGTTATCCCTAAGACTTGTGTTACTGAGATACCCTTTAAAGTTATTTCTTTAAAAACATACGCTGCCACCATTAAATTCTTGAACACTGCTTAAAGCTTCTTTTGAAATCTTTAAGCACAGAGGCACACTTGAGTCAGATGTGATGAACAATCAACAAGAAAGTTTATTAATGAGAACAGGAAAAATGCAGATACTAGCTTGGTTGTTTCAGAGGTTTTTCTTGAAAGCGTAATGGTTACTTAAACAGTTCTGACTTCGTTACTTCAGAAACTCTTTTCTCCCTCCAAAAACAAGAATCCTGACAGGATAGTTTCTCTGACAGAAATCCTTCAGCAGCACAGATAGCCCTAACCTGGATCTATCTTGCTACTACCCAGCTATCCTCTTAATAGCTGTAAGTCTTCACTAGCTACCCTGCTAGCAAACTCATTACATCTCTAACCTAACACATAAAAGTCTAATGAATTGCAAACAATGTGGGTCAGAGCACAAAATGTGGCATCCCATTGTCCACTGTGATGATCCATAGTGCCACTATACTGTTAGACAACAACTGCTTGCTCCATTTGCAAAATAGTCTTGATGAGTGTTTTTATATCTCCCCTCCTCTACTAAGAATGCAAGAATTGCATAGAGCCATCATCCAATTTTGTGTGATCATTAGTTGATTTATAGTAGTGTAACTTCTTAATAGGATACCAGTACTCATGTTTCATTATACCATTTCTCCAGGATGCCCAAAGTGTGGAGTGTATCCCCTCCCATCCCCATGTATATGTTTTGTTCAAACCTGTCTAATAGGATAGGATGAGAGGTAATGGTTTAAATGGCCATATGGGAATCCATCTTAATGCTTTCTTTTTTAAAAATGCTTTTAGACAATCAATAACTCATCAGACAAAATCCAAGTTCGTGACTTACAGCTGGTTACCAGGTCAGTGCTGAAATTTTTGGTGAATGCTATTTAAAAGCGAAATACTTTTAATAAGTAAAGGAGTCCCTGGTGGCACAGTGGGTTAAACCGCTGAGCTGCTGAACTTGCTGACCAAAAGGTTGGCGGTTCGAATCCGGGGAATGGGATGAGCTCCCGCTGTTAGCCCCAGCTTCTGACAACCTAGCAGTTCGAAAACATGCAATTGTGAGTAGTTCAATAGGTACCACTCCGGCAGGAAGGTAATGGTGCTGCATGCAGTTGTGCTGGCCACATGACCTTGGAGGTGTCTTTGGATAATGCTGGCTCTTTGGCTTAGAAATGGAGATGAGCACCAACCCCCAGAGTCAGACACAACGGGACTTAATGTCAGGGAAAACCTTTACTCTTACCTAGAGCTACTTTGTGCCATGAAAAAGTCTAATGCTATATAATAATAATAATAATAATAATAATAATAATAATAATAATAATAATAATAATAATAATAATTTTATTTATACCCTGCCACCATCTTCCCAAGGGACTCAGAGCAGCTTACATGAGGCCAAGCCCAACAACATCTATCTATCAATCTATCTATCTCTCCGTCCATCAGTCCATTGGTCGGTTGGTCTATCTATATTCTGTGAAAGCTGTATTATGGCTGCGTGACCTCATCCTTCTCTTTCAGGGAGGCCATTGGTCACATGAAGGAAGGGGAGGAAGAGAAGACCAAGACCTACAGTGCCTTAATATGGACAGAAAAAGCAATCAAGAACGAAAACATTGCCTTTCTAGACAATATGAAGGTTGTATAGCTGGGGTGGTATTTATTATTTGCTTGTTGGTGATTGTGCAACAAAGGGTTTTGCAAACACTGTCTGTCAGATTTAAGATGAAAGACATCATCACTTCATAATGGGGAGCTGGCTCTTCAGCTTCGAAATGGAGATGAGCTCCACCCCCCTGAGTTGGACACAACTAGACTTAATGTCAAGGGGAAACCTTTACCTTTACCTTAAATACAACCATAAGAAACATGTATTAAAACATACACATATTAAAATATATGATGCTGTTTTGGACCACCTCTTCAAAAGACTTTAAAAAATCTTTCCTTGTATATATATGCACCAGGAGTTAAAACTTGATCAAAAGACTCCGCTGCGGGTTCTTCATCGGCGCCCCTTGGCGGTCAGGGTTCGCCTCATCCACACCATGAGGCCGGAGTACATCGACGAGCATCACCTCCGCCTCCATCTGAAGACACAGGCAGGGACGTATCCTTCCCAAATGTCAGCTAGAATAGGAAGGTTTTTCCCTTTCCAATGAAAAGACAGCAAGGAAGGAGAAAACTTGCTCAGCTTCCCTGGAAAGAGAGTTGCAGAATCTGGAAACTTCAGCATATGTCGGTCCAGATGCTGGGATCTAGAGAGTCAGAATTTGGATAGGTTAATATAGAAAAAAATCTTGATCTGATCTAAGTACATACTACAACCCTCATGAGAAAAGTCCTCCCTTCTCTCCTCCTTGTCCCAGCAAGTATAGCAGCCACAACAGAGTTGAACGTTACGTTCTTGACACATAGAATCATAGCAATGGCCATCCACAATAAGGGTTGTGTGTGTGGCTGAAAGAAAGAGAGAGAGGGTTATGCATTCCCAGATCTCTCATCAACAGCTCATCCTCCTAATTTCCTTAATGGCAATGCAGATACGTTAAAGAATTTGTGCACGGAGACTTTGGAAGAACCAAGCCAAACCTCAGTTCCCTCTTGGAGACAACCGCTGACATCTTGGAGCTGGATGTTGAGGTGAGTCCTCTGTGCTATACTGCTTCGTCATAAGGAATTATTGTGCTGGCCTCTTCCATTGTTGTTGAGACCATTGTTTTGGGGCATTCCTTTTAAGCCCCAGAGAACCTGGTTCCATTTATCTGCTCCCAAACTATGCTGCTCATAATAATAATACTCATAATAATAAGCCTGTCCAGGATGCTTGCAGATCTATTTTGGGTTTGGGAATCTCTGCTGACCATGTTGGCTGAGGGATTCTGGGAGTTGTGGTCCAAAAGTAACTTTTCCAAGGTCTGGAGAACAGTACTTTGGGTACTACTTCCCAGTTTCAGCTAGGATTAGGGCCTTGTTGACTGTGATTTATTGCTTGTTACAATATTATTTATTTAGTAACAGTATTTATATTCCGCCCTTCTCACCCTGAATTGGACTCAGAACGGATCACAGAACACATATACAGCAAACATTCATTGTTGTTTTATACTAACAAGACTGTGGAGGTTGGGAAATGTAAATAAACAGAATCTTTACCACAGTTTCTGAACCAAGATATACTCTGCATTATAATAAAGTGTCACTCGACCTTGTGTAACAAGTAACTGTATCTTTACTTCAGTTCAAAAGGTTAAACAGGGCAACAATATATGCAGTAATCTCTCTGAATTCACACAGAGAACAGAGGGAATAGACCAGGGGTCCTCAAACATTTTAAACAGAGGGCCAGGTCACAGTCCCTTAAAGTGTTGGAGAGCCAGATTATAATTTGAAAAAAAAAGGAATGAATTCCCATGCACACTGAACATATCTTATTTATAGTGCACAAAAAAACCCCCACTTAAAAACAATACAAAAAAATAAAATGAAGAATTTTAACAAAAATAAACTTATAGTATTTCAATGGGAAGTGTGGGCCTGCTTTTATTTATTTATTTGTTTGTTTGTTTGTTTGTTTGTTTACCTTACTTATATACCACTGTTCTCAGCCCGAAGGCGACTCACAGCGGTTCACAACAAATAAGAACAGCAAAAATTCAATGCTACAGTATAAAAAACAGTTAATAACCTAACACATTACATAATTAATAATTACTACAATAACCATTCATTATTGTCTCATCATCAAAAACATGATCCAGATTCGTCATCCATTGTTCCATTCCAGTGTTCATTAACTGATGAGATAGAGTTGTTGTTGGTGTTGTTGTGTGTTTTCAAGTCATTTCAGACTTATGTTGATCCTGAGTGAGAACCAGATAAATGACCTTGGAGGGCCGTATCCGGCCCCTGGGCCTTAGTTTGAGGACCCCTGGAATAGACAGTCCTTTTAAACAGTCTTTAAAATATGCTTCATGCTTCATGCCTTAGAAATAATCAGGCTTCAGAGAGTTGGCAGCCATTTCCTTCCTGGCTGTTTCCGGTCAGCACTCACTTCACTCTCCAAGGTAAAAGTGGCAGTTAAAACCGTTTGTCTCAGCAGCAAGCTAGAGACAGTAGCCAATCAGAATTCTGGCTCCTAGCATGCTCAGCCAATCAGTTGCTGACACATGCCTTTCAATGTAGGCATTACATCATGGTGTCTTTACAAATCCTCACAGACAACTGTACATAGATAGAGGGGTGTGCATGTATATATTGGATAGATAGGTAGGTAGGTAGGTAGGTAGGTAGGTAGGTAGGTAGGTAGGTAGATAGATAGATAGATAGATAGATAGATAGATAGATAGATAGATAGATAGATGGATGGATAGTCTTTCCCACCTTTGGCTTCTTGGAGGCTTGAGCTCGGTACCGGCCACAGGGGGTGCTGTTGTTCCACTTTTCCTTGCCGAAAAGCTTTTTTCATAAACTTCCTCCTTGATCGAATTGCCGACATTTTTCTGATATTTTCCTTATGGGTACCTTAAATCTCTCCCCGCTTTAAAGCCGTACCTATTTATCTACTCACATTTGTTTTTGAACTGTTAGGTAGGCAGAAGCTGGGCTAAAGGTCCAGCTTCTCACCCTGACCCAGGCTTCGAACTGTCAACCTTTTGATTGGCAAGATTTACTGCAGCTGAAGGTTAACTTGCTGTTCTAAAGCCTGGCTGTTGTGACTTCACAGACTGTCTCTGATGAGGATGATGGGACTCAGGTTCGCAGATTGGTTCAAAATGTCCCTGTTATAGATGTCCCTGTTATAGACAATGAAGAAGTGCAGTTTCCCACAGCAAGGCATGAGAGTGTTGATACTGAAAATAGCCAGGTGCAGATGGATTCAGAGAAGGAGGATACTTCTCAGCCTGATAATGAGCAAGCAGGGAAACAGGCTGACACTAACGAACAGACTGACCTTGACGAAATGGGAACCTTAGATCGGGCTGACCATTTGGAATTCCAAGTCCGAAGGAGTGAAAGGATAGCTAACAAGAGGGAGGCCAGGGGACAAAGAACATCCTTGTATTGTCGAAGGCTTTTATGGCCTGAATCACTGGGTTGTTGTAGGTTTTTTCGGGCTATATGGCCATGTTCTAGAGGCATTCTCTCCTGACGTTTCGCCTGCATCTATGGCAAGCATCCTCAGAGGTAGTGAAGTCAGACCTCACTACCTCTGAGGATGCTTGCCATAGATGCAGGCGAAACGTCAGGAGAGAATGCCTCTAGAACATGGCCATATAGCCCAAAAAAACCTACAACAACCCAAGCGCCTTCATTTTTTGCAAAGGATATTAAGCCATGTGTGTGAGACCAAATCTTTGTCAAAGCAACTTTGCGTTCTACTCAGAAGTTTGTGGTGCTTGTGGTCCAGAAGCAGGTGCTTGTGGATGTGACACAAGCACCTGCTTGTCCTATTTTGATGGATTCTTTTCAGCTTGTGAAGCCCGAGGATGTGGACAAGATACTTGGAGGAATGAGGCCTACCACGTCCATCCTAGACCCCTGCCCATCCTGGCTTCTGAAAGAGGCCAGAGGGGGATTGGCTGAGTGGGTAACGGTGGTGGTTAATGCCTCCCTTCGGGAAGGCAAAATTCCAGCGAGCCTAAAACAGGCTATTATAAAGCCGCTGTTGAAGAAACCATCACTGGATCCCACCAAATTTGACAACTTTCGGCCTGTTTCCAATCTTCCCTTTTTGGGCAAAGTCATGGAAAGCGTGGTGGCCTCACAACTCCAGGTATTCTTGAGAGACATGGATTATCTGGATCCGGCGCAGTCTGGTTTCAGACCGGGACATGGTACTGAGACGGTCTTGGTCGCCTTAGTGGATGATCTCCGCCGGGAGCTAGACAGGGGGAGTGTGTCCCTGTTGGTGCTCCTGGACCTCTCAGCGGCCTTCGATACCGTCGACCACGGTATTCTTCTGGGGCGCCTTGCAGAGATGGGCCTTGGGGGCACTGCTTTGCGGTGGCTCCAGTCATTTCTGGAGGGTCGTACCCAGAAGGTGTTATTGGGGGACTCCTGTTCAACTCCAGCCTTTGTTCTGTGGGGTCCCGCAGGGCTCAGTACTGTCCCCTATGTTGTTCAACATATACATGAAGCCGTTGGGAGAGATCATCCGGAGTTTCGGGGTGCGGTGTCATCTCTACGCAGATGATGTCCAATTCTGCTACTCCTTTCCACCTGCTACTAAGGAGGTTGTTCAAGTCCTGAACCGGTGCTTGGCCGCTGTAACGGACTGGATGAGGGACAACAGATTGAAATTAAATCCAGACAAGACAGAGGTACTCCTGGTCAGTCGCAAGGCCGAACAGGGTATAGGGTTACAGCCTGTGCTGGACGGGGTCGCACTCCCCTTGAAGGCGCAGGTTCGCAGCTTGGGTGTGATCCTGGACTCATCGTTGAGCCTGGATCCCCAGGTTTCAGCGGTGACCAGGGGAGCATTTGCACAGCTTCGGCTCGTGCGCCAGCTGCGCCCGTACCTTGGGAAGTCTGACTTGGCCACGGTAGGTCCACGCTCTGGTTACATCCCGTCTTGACTACTGCAACGCTCTCTACGTGGGGTTGCCTTTGAAGACAGCCCGGAAGCTCCAATTAGTCCAACGGGTGGCAGCCATGATACTAACAGGAGCGGGGCGCAGGGAGCACACAACTCCTCTGCTGCACCAGCTCCACTGGCTGCCGATATGCTACCGGGCTCAATTCAAGGTGCTGGCCTACAAAGCCCTAAACGGTTCCGGCCCAAAATACCTTTCTGACCGCATCTCGGCCTATGAGCCCACGAGGACCTTGAGATCATCTGGGGAGGCCCTTCTCTCGATCCCGCCTGCCTCACCGGCACGCCTGGCGGGGACGAGAGAGAGGGCCTTCTCGGTGGTGGCCCCCCGGCTATGGAACTCCCTCCCTGCTGAAATCAGACAGGCACCTTCCCTCATGGCCTTCCGTAAGGGCCTGAAGACCTGGCTCTTCGAAAAGGCCTTCAGCTAGTGCTATATGTTTTCCTTGGAATGATCACCGGAATGGACTATGACGATGAGACTGACTATGACCCTAATCTAGACGAAGCGGATTTTTATATGTTGTGTGATGGTCTTGTTCCACTGTAAATTGTTGTCTTTTCTATGTTTTGTACACCGCCACGAGTCGCCTCCGGGCTGAGAGTGGCGGTTAACAAGTGCAAGTAATAAATAATAAATAAAATAAACATAAACTAGGCTGGATTATCTTGCAGTTTTGTTGTTCATGGTTCCAGGACTTTGTCATGTTCTCTTGGATTTTGCTTTGCTGATGCCTTTTTGGATTAAGCTTCAAGTGTTATGTTGTATTGATCCTTGGGAACATTAACCTTTGCTTTTAAGAACTTTTTACCTTTTATTTTTAACTAGCCACGCTTTGCTGTGGCCCAGTCTGGTCATCTGGAAAATAAAGAGAAAGTGTTGGTTTCTAATATATATAATTTTTTAATGCTTGTGTTGATGTAGAGATTGTCTGGTTGGCCTACTCTGGAACATGCGACATATAATTGTCCTTGTTTAGGGGTCCCTTGCACATCTATCATACTATGTGTGCGCGCGCGTGTGTGAATAATATCTATCTATCATCTATCTATCTATCTATCTATCTATCTATCTATCTATCTATCTATCTATCTCACCTATCTTATCTATCCATACATCCATCTATCCATCCTATCTATCATCTATCTATCATCTATCTATCTATCTATCTATCTATCTATCTATCTATCTATCTATCTATCTATCATCTATCTATCTATCTTTATGGCTGGATGGCTCTTGGTCAGGAGGGCTTTGATTATGTTTTCTTGCCCTGGTGAAGGGAGTTGGACTGGGTGGCCTTAAGTATTTTCTGTTGGTCATGGGGGTTCGGTGTGGGAAATTTGCCCCAATTCAGTCGTTGGTGGGGTTCAGAATGCGCTTTGATTGTAGTTGAACTATAAATCCCAGTAACGACAACTCCCAAATATCAAGATATATTTCCCCCAAACTCCATCTGTGTTCATATTTGGGCATATGGAATATTCGTGCCAAGTTTGGTCCAGACCCATAATTGTTTCAGTCCACAGTGCTCTCTGAATGTAGGTGAACTACAACTCCCAAACTCAAGATCAATGCCCACCAAACCCTTCTATTCCATCGTTGGTGGAGTTCAGAATGCTCTATGATTGTAGGTGAACTATAAATCCCAGCAACTACAACTCCCAAATGACAAAATCAATTTTTTTGAGTGAAGGACATACATTGGGTTGTTAGGTGTATTATGTCCAAATTTAGTGTCAATTCGTCCAGTGGTCTTTGAGTTCTGTTAATCCCACAAACAAACATTACATTTTTATTTATATAGATAAACTATAAAGACTTTTGTGTGTGGTTTGGTGTCTTCAGCAAGGTGAATCTACTCAGAGGTGCAACACTGGTCCCTCTCTTAAATGTGGATTCCAAGTAATCAGTATCAAGACCATTGCTAGATCATGAGCTAACTGTACTTAGAACAATGTCATATGTCAAATATTAGTATATTTTTTTCCTTTACAGTCAGTGGATGTTAACTGGCCTCCAGCTCTGGACAATTGACAAGCAATTGAAGTTTCAAGATGGTGGTGAAGAGGAAGGGGAAGAAGAAGAAGAAGAAGAAGAACGGGCTCCATTTTGGAAGCGAGATGACTTTTCCTTAAGCATTTTAGATCATGTTGATCTGTTCATAGACTCGTTTTGCAACTAAAATAGGTTTCTTAATTGGATTTTAAAACTCTGAATGCATGGGGTTTGATGCAGCAGAATGGAAAGACTACACTGGGGTGTCTTGCCCCATTAAGCCAAAGCCCTTCTTCCCCTCCTTCCATAAAGCTGGAGTGTGGCTCCTATGGGGAGAAGAATCAGGGACATCTTTCGTCAGCCCATTTTAATGCGCTTCAATCAGGGACCAAATTCTGGTACTCTTGCCAGGTATCATGTAAATGCATATTGGTCTGAAGCAAATGGACATTGTAAGAGAATATCCCTTCTTGCAAGACTAATCCCTTTGGTTTTTCCCACCCAAAGGGGCACAGGTCTGGAATCCAGAAATTGATTTGATTCTGATAATTAGATGGAATCTCCTGACAGTTACATGGCTCTATGTGGCAGAATAAGGAGAAATCATATTGTCATGTTGTAGGTTTTTTCGGGCTATATGGCCATGTTCTAGAGGCATTCTCTCCTGACATTTCGCCTGCATCTATGGCAAGCATCCTCAGAGTAGTGAGGTCTGTTGGAACTAGGAAAAAGGGTTTATATATCTGTGGAATGACCAGGGTGGGGAAAAGAACTCTTGTCTGCTGGAGCTAGGTGTGAATGTTTCAACTGACCACCTTGATTAGCACAGAAATGCTGGACCACTCTCACAACCACCATGTCAGACTACACAGAGAAGCCATTGAAATCCACAAGCATGTGGACAATTTCAACAGAAAGGAGGAAATCATGAAAATGAACAAAATCTGGCTACCAGTATTAAAAAACTCTAAAATTGAACAGCACAACAACAGAGAGGAAACAAACAAGGACATCTAATCACCTCTCAACAAAAGATTGCTCCAGGCACTGCCAGGCCATCAAATGCTAATCAAGGTGGTCAGTTGAAACATTCACACCTAGCTCCAGCAGACAAGAGTCCTTTGTCCCACCCTGGTCATTCCACAGATATATAAACCCTTTTTTCCTAGTTCCAACAAAACCTCATGACCTCTGAGGATGCTTGCCATAGATGCAGGTGAAACGTCAGGAGAGAATGCCTCTAGACCATGGCCTTATAGCCCGAAAAAACCTACAACCCAGTGATTCCGGCCATGAAAGCCTTCGACGATACATATTGTCATGGCCTGAATCACTGGGTTGTTGTAGGTTTTTTGGCTGTGTTCTAGAAGCATTCTCTCCTGATGTTTTGCCTGCATCTACGGCAGGCATCCTCAGAGGTTGCCTGTCTGGAGGGTACCTGGAGGGCCCAAGTTTGCCCATGCCTGAGTTAGCCTGTCAGTCAAAGGGATTATTGTTTCCAGACAGAAAGAGGATCATGTGAAATGCACAGGAAGTTATAAATGTAAAGAAAGCGATGGCTTTTTAAGAAACAGTTGTTTTTTAAATGAAGAAATTAAACATAACCTTCTTAAACTCCTGTTTAGTGTTTTAGCATTTCTTTTTACACACTTTGCCCATGCTTGGAAACCTTGTTACAACTACCTGGATTTGAAAGTGGGTTTAGGAGTAGTCAAAACATAGTCACAACATAGCTATTCATCCGATACGGGATCTTGGCCTCTTGTCTTTTCTAAAATCTAAAACTGAGCAAAAGCTTCATTAGGAACAGCTATAATTCTATTATAGTATGTAAAGGGCCCCCTGGTGGTGCACCAGGTTAAACCGCTGAGTTGCTGAACTTGCTGACTGAAAGGTCGGCGGTTGGAATCCAGGGAGCGGAGGGAGCTCCCGCTGTTAGCCCCAGCTTCTGCCAACCTAGCAGTTTGAAAACACGCAAATGTGAGTAGATCACTAGATACCGCTTCAGCAGGAAGGTAACGGCACTCCATGTAGTCATGCTGGCCACATGACCTTTGAGATGTCTATAGACAACGCTGGCTTGGAAATTGAGATGAACACCAACCTCCAGAGTCAAACACAACTAGGCTTAATGTCAGGAGAAACCTTTATCTTACCTATATAAGGTAGAGCCCCCAGTGGCGCAGTGAGTTAAATCCCTGTGCTGGCAGGACTGAAGACCAACAGGTCACAGGTTTGAATCTGGGGAGAGGCGGATGAGCTCCCTCTATCAGCTCCAGCTCCTCATGCGGGGACATGAGAGAAGCCTCCCACAAGGATGATAAAAACATCAAATCATCCGGGCGCCCCTTGGGCAACGTCCTTGCAGACGGCCAATTCTCTGACACCAGAGCGACTTGCAGTTTCTCAAGTCGCTCCTGATACAACAAAAAAAACAAACAAACCTATGTAAGGTTTAATTTATTGTCAAAGGCTTTCATGGGTGGAATCATTGGGTTTTTGTAGGTTTTTTTGGGCTATATGGCCATGTTCTAGAAGCATTCTCTCCTGACATTTCACCTGCATCTATGGAAGGTATCCTCAGAGATGGTGAGGCCTCACAACAGGTGAAACGTCAGGAGTGAATGCTTCTAGAACATGGTCATATAGCCCAAAAAGCTACAATAACCCTATGTAAGGTTTATTCTTGGCATTTTTTTTAAAGGATGTTGGAAGAAGTGTGGAAATCCAACATTTGAGAAGTTAAACGATGTGTTTGGCTGCTAAACTAAGTCCTAAGATGGTGAAAGTAAGTTTGTGGAGCCCTATGTCTGAACTCACTGCCTCCTCCTTTTTGAAGGATTTTAAGCAGTTGCAGTTGCCGTTTTTGGTCTAAAACTATCTAGCAGCTTGTAATCCCTTTATTTTATCAGTTTTACATAAACTATTTTATGCAATGCTTTTGACACGAAATAAATAAATAGAGCAGAGGCTGGATGGCCATCTGTCAAGGATGTTTTCATTGTGAGTTTTCCCTCTTGGTCCTTTCACATTATGACTCGGATACAACACTTTCCATCTTGAGTACCGTGACTGAATTGTGACATGCAAATGTACTGAATTATTAAAATAAGGGAGAGGCTTTGGAGAGATGCATATCCAGAGCCATTCTGATCGTTCCCCAGCGATGGTCAACCTCATGACTGGTAGAGATGACTCTGGCGTGACTCATCTTTTCTGCTTCACACCTACTGTTTCGCAAACGTAGATGCACAGTTTAGTGATTCTGGAGGAGAACTCTAGGAAAGCCACCTGTAGACTTAGAGTAAGCTGTGAATCGGGGGTCTATTGCATCTTCCGAAAGTTGACTAAGAGGAATTTTCCCAACACCTAAATCACAAGACCCACCATCATCCATATTTGATCTTGATCTTTCTTTGTTCAACCAGGTTTTCTTTCTACAAAAGGTCAACAAGGTCTGCTTTTCCAGTCAAATTTCAAGCAGTCGTCTCAAAACTTCAGGTTCATTCAGTGCAGAATTGGCTCAAAACTGCATCAGAAGAAGAGAGAAGCAAGGCCTGTAGATGTCACCCTAGGACTAGATCCTTGAGCAAACACTTTGTGCTTACTGTCAATTGGCATTGCAGTTTCCAGCCATGAAACTAACCAACTTGGGTGAATTCTTTATTGCCCTCTCTCAACAGAAGAGCAATACTGGAGTGACTACGTTGAGCATCTGTTGAGTCCAAACAAAGGTCTCCAATGCTGATTCCTCGCTACCCAATTCTTTGCAAAGCAGAAGTAAAAGCTACTCCTATAATCACTAGGTTCTTGTGGCTTTTTCGGGCTATAGGGCCATGTTCTAGAGGCATTTCTCCTGACGTTTCGCCTGCATCTATGGCAAGCATCCTCAGAGATAGTGAGGTCAGACCTCACTACCTCTGAGGATGCTTGCCATAGATGCAGGCAAAACGTCAGGAGAAATGCCTCTAGCACATGGCCCTATAGCTCGAAAAAACCCACAAGAACCTACTCCTATAAATTGTCGAAGGCTTTCATGGCCGGAATCACTGGGTTGTTGTAGGTTTTTTTGGGCTATATGGCCATGTTCTGGAAGCATTTCTCTTGACGTTTCGCCTGCATCTATGGCAAGCATCCTCAGAGGTATGCATCCGATACGGTCTGTTGGAACTAGTAAAAAAGGGTTTATATATCTGTGGAATGACCACAGATATATACTCCTATATACTTGGCCTAGGTAGTGAGTGTATAATGGGTAAATGCACTAGAGTACATGGTGGCCAGTGTGCTGTAGTGGTTGAAGCATCAAAGTATGGAGACCAGAGTTCAATTCCCCACTTGGACATGGAAACCCAACATGTTGCACAATCTCAGCACCTCCAAAACCTATGATAGGGTTGCCATAAGTTGGCAAAGACTTGAAGGCACACCACAGCAACCATAATAACAAATTGAAATTGAATCCAGACAAGACAGAGGTACTCCTGGTCAGTCAAAAGGTCAAACAGGGGATAGAGTTACAGCCCATGTTGGACAGGGTTGCACTCCCCCTGAAGATGCAGGTTCGCAGCTTGGGTGTGATCCTGGACTCATCGCTGAGCTTTGAACCCCAAGTTTCGGCAGTGACCAGGGGAGCATTTGCACAGTTAAAACTTGTGCATCAGCTGCACCCGTATCTTGGGAAGTCTGATCTGGCCATGGTAACCAAGCTCTGGTTACATCCCAAATAGATTACTGCAACACGCTCTATGTGGGTTGCCTTTGAAGACTGTTCAGAATCTTCAAATGGTCCAAGGGGCAACAGCCAGGTTACTAACAGGAATGGCGCTCAGGGAACAAACTACTCCTCTATTGCGCCAGATCCACTGGCTGCCAGTTTGCTACCGAGCACAATTCAAACTGCTGGCTTTAGCCTATAAAGCCCTAAACAATTCCGGTCCAGCTTACCTGTCCGAACGTATCTCCTCTTAGGAACCACCTAGGAGCTTAAGATCATCTCGGGAACACCCTGCTCTCAATCCTACCTCGGATGTGCAATTTTTTTTGTCGTGTCAGGAGCGACCTGAGAAACTGCAAGTCGCTTCTGGTGAGAGAGAATTGGTCATCTGCAAGGACGTTGCCCAGGGGACGCCTGGATGATTTGTGTTTTTATCATCCTTGTGGGAGGCTTCTCTCATGTCCCCGCATGAGGAGGTGGAGCTGACAGAGGGAGCTCATCCGCCTCTCCCCGGATTTGAACCTGCGACCTGTCGGTCTTCAGTCCTGCCGGCACAGGGGTTTAACCCACTGCGCCACCGGGGGCTTCTATTGATAGAGATGAAGGACAGGACTTTCTCAGTGGTGGCCCCCTGGCTATGGAACTCCCTCCCCAGGGATATTAGATTGGCCCCCTCCCTCCTGACTTTCCGAAAAAAAGTGAAGGCCTGGCTCCTTGAGCAAGCTTTTGAGAATGCAGCGGAATAGATAACATGAAACTATTAATGACGAACATGGAATGGCCAGATGATGTTAATGGAAAATGTTTTTAACAAGATGACACTGATGATTATATGCTTTAACGGTTTTTATTTATGTTTTATATTGTTATGTTGATTGTTTTAATGGCACTTTTATGAATGCCTGTCATTTAATTGTGCCAATCTGTAACCCGCCTTGAGTCGCTGTATGGCTGAGAAAGGCGGGCTATAAATGTCGTAAATAAATAAATAAACAAACAAATAATGCCTACTGAACCATGTGTGCTGAAA